GGCAGATGCAGCACACATTCAACCAATGGTGTTACGTTATGTGGCCATAAGCCAACAACTTAACCTTTCTGTGCCTGAGTCCCCTTCTAGAAAATAAAGACAAGATTGCCTACCTCTCGGGTGCATGAAGACTTTTAATTCATTGTTAAGACTTTTTAAGATCTTCAGATGGAAGGTACTAGAGAAATACAAAGTAGTGTACAAAATACAAAGCCTGACTCACTCAAAAAAAAAAAATGAAAAGGGGAAAAATTAATCTCTTTTCCAAATAAAGTGCTATCAGTGAGATCTTAACCAAGAAACTTCCTCCTTGCTTTTGCCGGTAGTTGTGGATCAGGGCAAGCTGTACTTCAAAACATCTAATTGCACATAGTGAGAAATGAAGAAAACTGAAGTGGTTCCCAAGAACATATTAGAAAATCTGAACTAAAATGAGAAAGATATCATGTCAAGTGAGACAAATGCAAAGTTGATACTCCAGTGCTTCAGACATCCACTTGTCCTTGGCACAGAGAAAATGAGATTTTTAATATCTGAAAAACAGATTGCCATGAAGACTCATCATTGTAAATTTAAGCTGCCTTTACAGTAACTTAGGCTGGGAACTGGATTGTTCATTACATTCAATTCTACAATTGTGGACATGACATCCATATTAATACTGAATTTTTTTTATATTGTCCCTACTAGGAAAGGGAGGAATTGTGTGTTTTCCCTGTATTATTAACAGGTAATTTATTTAATTAATAATGTGAAGAGGGCAAAGGTTTGTGAGTTTTTACTTGCATATCATCTATAGATTACAATGGCACCTGCTTTTGCTGCTGTGATTAAGGCTGACTCAGCATGTTGGTGTATAATTAAAGGAAGGGGACATTGATACACCGTTGTAGAAGTTTGTTGATGGCTGTAGTCATGTTATGTAGGCAGAATGACCTGGCTAAAATCTAGGGAAATATGATCTAGATGAAGTTACCATAAAGTGGGTGCATAACTGGTTGAAAAACTGTACTCAATAGCAGTTATCAATGGTTCACTATTAAACTGGGAGGATGTATCCAGTAGAGTAGTTCAGGGGTCTGTCTTGGGTCTGGTACTATTCCATATTTACATTGAGGACTTAAGTAACAGTGAGGAGAGAGTGCTTGTAAAATTGGTGGGTGACACCAAGCTAGGAAAGGTTGCAAGCACTTTGGAGGACAGGACTAGAATTCAAAATGACCTTGAGGAATTGGAGACATGCTCTGAAAGCAATAAGTTTAAATTCAATTAAGACAAGTGCAAAGTACTACACGTAGGAAGGAAAAATCAAATACAAGCCGCAGAATAACTGACGAGGCGGTAGTACTGCTGCAAAGGATCTGGGGATTATATTGAGTCTCAAATGGAATATGAGCCAACAATGTGATGGAGTTGCGAAAAAGACAGGGGCTTATTAACAGGAGTCGTATGTGAGACTTGGGAGATAATTGTCCTGCTCCATTTGGCACTGGTGAGGCCTCAGCTGGAGTACTGTGTCCGGTTTTGGGTGTCACACTTTAGAAAAGATGTGGACAAATTGGAGAGAGTCTAGAGGAGAGCTACAAAAATGACAAAAGGTTTAGAAAACCTGACCTATGAGGAAAGGTTAAAAAACATGTATGTTGAGTCTTGAAAAGAGAGGAGTGAAGGGGGACCTGATAGTCTTCAAATATGTTAAAGGCTTTTATAAAGAAGGTGGTGATCAATTGTTCTCCATGTTCACTCAAGGTAGGACAAGAAGTAATGTTCGTAATCTGCAGCAAGGGAGGTTTAGGTTAGCTATTAGGAAAGCTTTCTAATCATAAGGGTAGTTGAGCTCTGGAATAGGCTTCCAAGGGAGGTTGTGGAATCCCCCTTATTGAAGGGTTTTAAGAACAGGTTAGACAAACACCAGTCAGCAATGGTCTACGTATACGGTAAAAGCTGTTTTATCGGGCTCTTCACCAACCAGAAAGCTCTATAAACCAGCATTTCTGATCTTCATTGGAAGTCCGGTTTATAGTCCGGTTGGCGCAGGGCCAGCAGGGGGCTGGGGTGCAGGAGGGGGTGCGGAGCGCAGGCTCTGGGAGGGAGTTTGGGTGTGGGGGAGGGCTGCGGGTTGGGTGTGGGAGGGGGTGCAGGGTGCCGGATCCGGGAGGCACTCACCTCGGGCTGTTCCCGTCCAATGGGAGCTGCGGAGCCAGTGGTCAGGGTGGGGGCAGCACGCAGAGCTGCCTGCCATGCCTCTGCCTGCCATGCCTCTGCCTAGGAGCACCTGGGACAGGTTGCTGCTTGCGGGGAGCCACCCGAGGTGAGCGCCCCCCCAGATCTGGCACCCCATCCCCCTCCAGCCCCAACCCCCTGCCCTGAGCCCTCTCTGGCATCCAAACTCCCTCCCTTTTAGTTAACCGGTATTTTTCACTTATCGACACCCCCATTCTCCCAACATGCTGGATAAAACAGCTTTTACTGTACTTGTTCCTGCCTCAGTGCAGGAGGCTGGACTAGATAACCTCTTGAGGTCCTTTCCAGCACTACATTTCTATGATTTTATGTTTTCATTGTTTCTCTTCTTTAGGGTTAGTCAAATCAGAGAGTCTCTTGAGAAGGCCCTTTGCTATTTCTCCCTGATCAACATTAGACCAACTTTTGGCCAAGGCAGATCAGTTGTACCCCTCTCCAGAGGCTGTTGGCACTGCCCCTACGTTAGTGGGAGGAGTCACTAGTTTCCCCTCCCCTTTTTCCTGTTTAACTTCATCTACTTTCACAATTTCAGCTACTGTGGCTACCCTAAGGACCCCAGATCTGCCCTGCTGTTCCATCTGATATTTGTGACTGTTTGCTATGTGAACGTCCCACATCCACCCCAGCCTTTAACATGGAAAAACTGAATTTCTCATATTTCCTCCCATAGCCTTTTCTCTTCATCTCTTCATTTCCATTGAAATTCTACTATCCTAACCATCACCCAGGCCCACAAGCTTGTTGCCCTTTTTGGATGTTTCCTTCTTCTCCTCCCTTCTCTACTTGCATCCAGTTGTTTCCGGTTCTTTATATATAACATGTCAGAAATCTATAGCATCCTTTCTTTTCCATTACCACCCCTAAAATCCTTGTCTGTGCTTTGGTCAGCTTTCACCTAAGTCACTGCAGCCTCCTCTTCTTTGGTTCCTCATAACTCACCTAGCTCCCACTTCAGTTTTTAAAATTCTGTTTTGTGGCGATGGAAAGTGATCGTCTTTAACTCTAGCGGCTATCTGCACTGCTTCTTCCTTGCTTTTGGCCTAGGATCCAGCATCAGAGCTAGAGTCCTGACCTCGCTATAATTAGACCTTCTGTCCTTCAGAAAGTTTGTATATATTTTAAGATGCGACTTTATTTTGTTTCTGTTTAACACAGAACCTCCTTTGGTTTTCAAAGCTGAAATTTGGCAGTTGGTCAACAATATGATCTCATTGCTTTTATGGCTTTAGCTGAGGGAAAACGTTTTTAATGCAGTTGAAAGATTTAACAAGAGGAGCTGACTGTATAACGATATTTGGAAAGGGAGATTTGGAGGGGGGAGAGGGGGGAGAGGAAGGCTGACTCTGGTGCACACATGAATCTGTCTTTCCCCATCCTTCAGTACGTTCAACGCAGTGTCATGGCTGCTATCCCAGGCACAAATTTTTTGGAACAAATAGAAAAGAGGATAGCAGGACCATTGTCCACCAATGCTCATCCCTTGCAGTCCCCAAAATTGTTCAGGATCTGACCACTTGATCTTAATGGAAGATCCCAACCCAGCACAGGGAAGATGAACTGCACCCTTTCTCTCCCCCTAAATCCATGCTAATAGGACTGAGGGGATAAAATATTGCTTCTTATCCAGCTGGAAGGTTTGCTGTTGTGTGGCAACAGTTGAGCTTTTATTCATGCTGTTCTGTAAGTTTGTGTGGTGCCGTCTGGGTCCCTCTGTATTCTAGGGCTTTTCCATTGATAATTCTAGTTCCAATCATGCATGTTATCGGAATGCAACGCTAGAGTGAAGTAGTCTTTAATATAAGTAACTCTCTCTGTAGTCTGCCTGAGTATGTCCTGCCTGCCTCGTCTCAAACGGATGATAGTTCTGTCTTTGCAGTGCTTCCAGCTCATGCCACCTTGGGGAGCAAGTCACTAGAAATGGTAGCTAAAGAAAGCGTTATTAGGTCACCTATTTTCATAATATTTAGCACTTATCTTCAGAGCTTTTTGCAGACATTAACTAATCCTTGTACACCCCTGGAAGGGAGATTGTGTAATTGTAATTGTGACTAGCATCATTTTACAGTGTAGTAAATGGAGGCATGGATTATTTTTACCCACGGCCATAGAGACTCGATTGTAGTCTGGATTTCTTAGACTGGAGACCCGTGGTTATAGAACCAGATGCCACCATTCTCAGTAGAGTTCTATGTACATTGATGTGTATGTTTGATTATGTATATGGAGATGTATTTGTCACAGATTACCATGATAGTAATGAGACTTAACATTTCCAATTTTAAAATATACCTATATTGATGCAGAGAGTACTTGGCTGGTCATCCTTTTGGTGCCTATAAACCTCAAATTGTAACGTGAATCGTTGTAATGTGTATGGTGTTTAAATGTGAAGAATTATTTACTAAGGGACAATTGAAATCAATGGTGAAGCTCCGATTAATTCAATGGGATGAGTCCGGGGCCCTAATTGTACTTGGAATACTACAAAATATTGAAAGATTGTATGGGAAATTGAAGGATTGCAGAGGGGGATTTTCCCTAATTTATCATATTTAAGAGTGTGGTCCCTGTTTTCTGCTCTCAAAATGGTGGGTTCAGATTATTTTAATGTGTGTCTTTCTGTCTTGCTAGGCTTTTATAAAGCTGCACATCACAGTGGTATCCAAGTTCTGTTATTAGATAATAAAAATGAAAGTGCCTTTACATTTTGAGCAAATTTTAATGGTATTTTTTCTCTCACTTGTCTGTTACAGAATGGTAAATAACGCTGAAGACCCCTGAGAGGCTTTCTGACTTGCCCTCCTCATGTGAAGTATGCTCAGAACCTTTCCAGTAGTGTAAGTACAACAACAAGAAGTCACTCCAGGAAAGTTCAAAAGTTGACGTTTCTGTAATTCAATGTAAAGAGAACAGAGGAATGGTCACAGCTGTGGTAGGGGGCAAATGCTTGTAACTTTTAGATTTGTGCTACACTTAAAATGTATACTGACATAGCTATGTCAGTTGCGGGTGTGAAAAAACCACATCCTTGGCCAACATAGCTAGGCCAATAAAAACCCCAGTATTAACGCAGCTATGCCAACAGAAGAGTGCTTCTGTCGGCGCAGCTAATATTCAGGGAGGAGGTGTTCCTACACTGCCAGAAAAACTCCCTCTGTCAGCGTAAGCTGCATCTACACTAGGGGGCTTTGCCAGCATAGCTATGCCCACATAGGCTCTGTAGTGTAGACATGACCTTAGAAACTTGGAGGTGAACCATACAGCATTACCATTAAACGCTGGAAATCTTCTCATGTCTCCCGGACGTAATGGTTAAACATCAATGCTCTCAAGAAGGTTTAGCGTCCTTTCTGTGAGTTAGTAGAAGGGGATACAGAGGCCATATGAGTGGTGAGATACAAGAACAAAAAGCCTAAGGCAGTGTCCATTAGAGTAGAAATAATTGGTTGCACCAGTTTAAGTTGGAATAGCTCCTCTATCTTTGTCTTGTTGTCTTAGGGTTTTTAAAGATAATTGTAAAAGCAATATAAATGCATGTATCCTTATGCTGCTCTATAGCTTTGTTTTGCTTTTGTTTAACTCAAGCTGAAAAGCTTTGGGTGTGAATTCAAAACACCTCAGAATTCAGGTGTCTTTAAATCTGGGCTTTCGGTTAGGCCTTCTAGTTTATATGCTTATGTATGATTTTCACCATAACAACCTCCCACTCCCAGCGGCACACAGTAAATGAGCCACCAGATTTAGAGTTTAGGAAATGTGCCAGATTGCCTGACACTGGAAAGTGAACTCCTCTGTTCACAGAACAGGTAGCAAGAAGCAGGACTGCAAGCATTTTCTGTCAATGTGCTCAATTCTGTGCTGGCAGAACCACCTCTAGGGCTCAGATCTGTCTGTGTAATACCAATGCCACCAATATCTACGCTGAGGCTCATGGCAAGGGTAACAGTTGAGATGGTTTTTGTGCTGTGGCCACCTGTCGACTAAGCCACCAACATGTTTCAAAAAGGCCCCTGGAGAGAACTCTGAGACTTTTAGTTGCTTCTGGATTTGAACCAGTAATTTAGAAGTGAAAGGCTTCTTATTACATTACCCGTCTTTTCAGCCATGCTCATCTTCTCTTACCATAGCTGGAAATATTTCAGATTTATTTCAGTATTGATTAGAGACCCCATTTAAAAATTTTAAAGATTTAATTCACAGCAGTTAAGAAACTTGGAGGTAATGTCAGCGCTGCCCTCTACTCCCTTTGTTACCCCTGTATGTTACAGGCTGCAGAATGACTAGTGAACTGAGGGTATGTCTACACTGCAGTTGAAAACCTGTGACTGGCCTGTGCCAGCTGACTCGGGCTTGTTGGGGCTGTTTAATTACAGTATAGCTGTTCAGGCTTAGACTGCAGCCCAGGCTCCAGGACCCTGCAGGGTAGGAGGGTCCCGAGCCTGAACATCTACACTGCAATTAAACAGCCTCTTAGCCTGTGCCCCTTTGAGCCCAAGTCAGCTGGCATGGACTAGGATTTTAATTGCAGTGTAGACATACCCTGAGCGATCACCTGTGCTGTGTATAGGCACAAGGACAGCCCAGCCTGTCAGCCTTAACTCTGAATCAGACTCTTAACACAATTTCAATGCCTGGTTTGTAGATTTAGACTATTAGCTCTGCTGTCCTGGCCTAATTTCAATTATGTTCTGCCTCTCTAAATTCTCTGTGCAATTTTAGTTGGATCCTGTGTTCTTCGGTGGCTTTCCAGAATTGTTGTGGAATGTTGCTGTGTACTGTGAAACAGCTGCTGTCTTCCACCCCAGAGGTGGCAGCTTTTCAGCTGAGGACTAGAGGAAGAATATTAGAATGGAGGAAAAACACTCACTTAAATGGTGTGTCAGGTTAAAATTTTTTTCCAGACTAAACTATAGAATCATAGAATATCAGGGTTGGAAGGGACCTCAGGAGGTCATCTAGTCCAACCCCCTGCTCAAAGCAGGACCAATTTCCAACTAAATCATCCCAGCCAGGGCTTTGTCAAGCCGGGCCTATAGATTAATTTATTTAAAGGGCTGAATAGGTTTAACAAATAAGTGACAGAGACGAAGAAAATGAAGGGCCATAAAACAATAGTGGTGAAAACCTACCATCCATATGGCACCAGTTGTGAAATCATGATCCTCTTCATGTGCAGCCATATGTGAAGCCTATTTAAAAAAAAAAAAAAAAAAAAGGTGGTGGGGGGGGAGGTAACAGTATCAAGTCTACTGCAAAGGCTCCCAGAAATGAGGTTCATTTTGCAATTCTTGATCAGGGCAGGAAAGAGTTCTTCAAAAGAACCAAAGGTCTGATCTACACTACGGAGTTAGGTCGAATTTAGCCGCGTTAGATCGATTTAAAAATGACTGCGTCCACACAACCAACCCCGTATCGTTGACCTAAAAGGCTCTTAAAATCGAATACAAATCTACGGCAGAATTTTAGAGATGTACAAGACTTGAGAGCTTCAAGAATCAGATCACAGCTCTGAAACTGATTCCCTCTGTGACCTAAAGCAAATAAATTGCCTGTATCATTTTCACCATCTGTACAGTGGGGTGAATTATCTACTTACCTCACAGGGCATGTGATGGAATATGGCCATAAGTATCTATATTAATTGCATGTTTTGGTCTGTATCCCAAAATGTGATAATTATATGCTTGACGTCTGATGGGATCGGACAGTTTGAACACCCTCACTCTCAGGGGAGGCATGGTCTCCAGGCCAGTGATTACAAGCCATTGAAACTAATGGGTCTAACTACCCAAACAATGGAGCAGGCATCAGGGGTGCATTCTCCTGGATAAGCCCTGACAGGTGCTCCTGCTGACTGGAAGAAAACAGGTTGAATGGTCTGGGTCAAAGAGAACCAGGTTTAGGGCTTGTCTACAAATGGAGTTATTCAGGAATAACAATGTCTCCATGTGCTGACAAGCCTGGAGAGACCCTCTTCCTCTCCCAGCACAGCAGGGCATGCTGTGAGTGGTGACCAATGAGGGTCACAGAAAGATCTGGGCTTGCTAGAAGACTGTAAGCTGCTTCTGATCTATTCCTGTAATTTAAGAGGAAAGCCTGTCTAACTCAGGCCTGGTTTACACTACAAACTTTTGTTGTTTAGGGTTGTGATTTTTTTTTTTAAATGATATTTTTATACTGGCAGAAAGTCTAGTGTAGACACAATTATGTCAGGAAAAAAAGTGCTTTTGCCAGTACACCTTTTGTTCGGGGAACTGATATAAGCTATGCTGGCAAAAGCACACACTTCTGGTATAAACTGTGTCTACAGTAGCAGGGTTTCCTGCTATATCTATACTGATATAGCTTGACTGGCAAACTCCTTCTAGTGTAGGCCTTACCTTGCAGTGAAGGGTAAGAGTACATGAGTCTAAATATGTATGTAGGATGTTTGTTTTAAATTCCTTTATTTCTTGGATGCTTTTTTCCAACTACTGAGTAAAAATACTCGGTTTTAAGAACACCGGTAGTCACTGTCACTGGTCACAGGTTTCCAAAGGGAGGAATTGCAAGTGGCTGAAACCCAGTCGGACCTGCAGGGGGATAAGGAGTTGATTTATACCAGGCAGTGTGTACTCTGGTCCTGGTCTTAAAACCTCTGCTCCACCACAGACTTCCTGTATGACCAAGTCTATCCTTTGTCCCAGTTCCCCATCTGTAAAATGGGGAGAATAGCACTTCCCTACCTAACGGGGTGCTGTGAAGATAGATACATAAAAGGTTCTGAGATGCTTAAGCACTACAGTAATGGGGGCCATATAAGGACCTAAGATAGAGCAGAAGAATTGGGAGATTCCATCCTGAGACAGGTAAAGGCAAGAGGGGTGAACTCAGACTGAAAGGGAACAGCAACACAGCTAGACCGTAAGCTGTGACAATTGTAAAAGTGCAACATACCGGTCAGGCATCTAGATGGGACTGTGCCTCAGTTTCCCCGCCACCGTGACTCATTTCCCATTGCGTTGGCGCATTGAAATGAGAGCCCCCCTGTAAAAACATGAGTCCTGTCATCCACTGTCACAGGCCTCAAGATCTTTCCAGCCCTCTCCAGGCACAAACTGTCCTCCCCTTTGTGGCAAGGTTTTAGGCTTTGGCTCCTCAGTGAAGGAACTCGTCTTTTACCCTTTTCTCAGAGGCTGGACCACAGTCTCTTCGTCAGGACTCTGTAGTTATCATTCTATTCTATGTAGATTCTTACACCATGCTGATCACTGTAGTATCAGAGGGTCTGCCTACACGACAGCTGAGAGGGTGCTGACCAGCACAGGTAGACAGACAGGTGCAAGCTCTGATCGAGCTAGCATGCTAAAAATGACTGTGTGATCACAGCTACTCGGGCTGGCCACCTGAGTCCATAACCAGGAGGTCAGGCAGGATTATACTTTGGCAACTAGCCCAAGCCGCCTCCCATGCCGCTGCGGCCACACTGCTATTGTTAGAGCACTAGCTCGAGCAGAGCTAATGCATGTCTGTCTACCTGCACTTGGAAGCACGCTCCCAGCTGCTGTATAGAGATACCCTGAGTGCTTTTCAGCCCTGCATTAAGGGACATGGCTCACCTCTGTCACCTGTTGTTTGTTGTCTTGGCCTCTCCCCAGTAGAGTGTCTTGTTTTGGTAGTATTTTTTTTTTAATGTACACGTTGCTCTGTATTTGTGTTAGAGAAGGCAAGGTCAAATAAATGCGCCTTGCACTTGGAGTGGAAGGTGGTAAGGTTTGTGACAGTCCTTAGTTCCTGGGGGAGTTCATTCATAGTCCTTCCCTGTGTTCAGTAGTCCTCCTATCAGGCACAGCAAAGA